GCGTCATGGATGCAGCAGGTTTCAGCATGGTGCGCTGCCAGGCAGGAGGCTGCTGTAAACAAAGGGGGGGACCATGGATCCCAAAGGGAAAATAGGAAGATGGCTGAAGAGAACAGAGGATGAGAACAAAATCATGGTTTTGGGTCACTGCTGCGTGAACGTCGCCACAGAGCCGTGTTGCCATACGAGGCTTATAGAAGATTTAAAGTTTTTTTGCGGCTCTAGACACATTCTTTTTTTGGGTCCAATATGGCTGTGAAGAGTTTTGGGTGCCGACCGCTGGTCTACATGAACCTGATTAATATTCTACAGCCGTCTGTGTTAATCTGTTCCAGAAAATCCCTCTGCTGTGTGAAACGGCGGCGCGCTCTGACGCTCTGACATCACCTGGATCTTGTTGAAGTACTGCCCTGCATCAAAGGGAACCACGTTGTAGGTGGAGATGCCGATGATGGGTTTATCTGTGGGGTTCTTGGCTCTGTAGAAAGCCAGCGCCGTCTCACCGGGAACCACCTGCAGAGAGGAGGGATCAGCGGGGAGGCCGCCATGTTTGCTCTGACAGGAAGTGCGTAAAGTGGAGCGGGAAGTCTTACGTAAATCTCCGTCTGCTGGGGTCTGAAGTTCCACTGGATGCTGGCGTGCGTGTCGGCGTTGAAGGTGACCTTGATGACGCGTTCCTTCACCGGCGTCATCGTCTCCACCTGGTCCGTGTCGTGCCCGGCTACAGCCGTGCCACCAAGCCCCGCGGCCTGTGTGAAAGGCGAAGGGGTCACACCGCCGCCGCGCACTCAGATGCGTGGCTGCTGTGTGTCTCAGGGCGCGTCTCACCTGGCAGTAAAGGCGGTACAGCGGCACGGCGGCGTACGACAGGCCGATCATTCCCACGCCGGCGGCAGCGATGTACGTCAGCACCGTCTTGTTCCTGGTCCTCCACTCGTCCTCCTGACTCCTGGACCTCCTGCTCTGTCTCCGCGTCACCAGGTGGGACGGAGGCCGCCGCCGCAGCAGGTTTTCAGCCTGAGAGCGCAGAATCCACTGAGATCTGCAGTGAAGCGCCCGGGCACAGCCCGCCAGAGGGTGGCAGAGGGACGGACGCAGCAAACGATGCAACGGCATCACACCTGAGGAGTTTACCTGCAGGGAGAACAGAGATGATGAAAGAACCAATCAGCAGCCTGGATTCAAACCAATCACTGTTCTCCTGAAAAGTCTTTGGTTTGTCTTTTATTCCAGAGAAAATAACATTTAAAGAGCTGAGTTCTTTAAACAGCTTTGATGGTAGTTATCAATTCATAAGAAAAACAGTAATGACACGACATCCACGGATCACAACCTTTATACACGTTCAAAGGCAGAAATGGTTTAAAAAAAAAGGATAAAATAGTAAAATACTTAAAGATAAAAATATAACACAAAGAAATTTAAACAGGGAATCCAAAACCAGGAGGGAACCAAGCGGAATAAGGTAAGGGTGCATTTTAGGATGCTAACAGTCTTATAGTGCAACTATGAAGTAAAGTTAACCTTCATCCAT